GGGGGGGGGGGAGGCATGCAAAGGGTACCTCCAGGAAAGAATGAAATACAATTATCCTAGGTTTACCTACATGAGAAATATCTACTGAGTAGCATTTTATACCTGTTGAAGAGTGTGAAAAAGTAACAGTTCAAAGAGAATTAATCAAATGAAAACACAAGGCAACCATTAACTTCTGACTGACTGAATGATGAACAAGTCCCAGGATTCCAACTCTGATGACCACTATTATTTTTTCATTCAGCAGAGACCAAAGATACTGGAACAGTTCCTAGTCTTAAAGAGAGTAGATATATTCTGCTCTGCATCTACTTGTTGGTAACTTTTTAGAAAATAAATTATTTTACAGGAAGTGGTCCTTCTTTTTTTAGAGGGTGGGAAAGAAGGTAATTTTTAAGATGAAGAAAGTTTCACCTACTGGATAAGGTCAAGCACTCTACATGGTGAGTATGTACAGACAACTCCCCCTTCTCTGTGTCCCACGGCCTTCAGTGAACCACACCCCCCAGATCCAAAACTGACGACTGCGCTGCCTCAAGTCATATCCACGAAAAGCACTTTCTTCAAGACTCTGCTATTCCTGCCATCTTTTCAGAGGCCTCCCTAGATCACATGACCTAAAACGAGGCACTCAATTGCTACCACCACCAATTTTTCTCCATCTCCCTTCAACCCGAAGGCAAGCTTTATAAAAGCAGAGAATTTTGTCTGTTTTAGAATCAGATAAACTCACCTACAACTGAGTAGGTGTCAGCAAATATGTGATGGATAAACAGACGAATGGATGGGTGAACGGATGAATTAATACGGTACCTAACAGCATGCTGAACCAAACCATTTTCTTATTCATTTTCTCCTCTGTCAAGAACTGTATTCTTCCCTTTCCTCCCTTTACTTCACTCTTTTGTATCCGTCTTATCCTAATGATGAACTATAGGATATAGACTCACAAGTAGAGACTTTATTTCTGTCATATTTAAATTTTTCTAGGCTAGTCAGAAAACCCAGTATCCTTAAAGAGATGTATTCTGCATTCTAAAAATCTAATTTGTAAGAAACATATCTATATAAAACTCACCCATAATTATGAAAACTCCATGTACTTTTATTTATGAGCTACTTCCTCAAGAACATTCACATTATCTAATCTTTTTTAAATGCTTATTTATTTTAAGAGAGCAAGTGAGCATGAGCAGGGGAGGGGTGTAGAGAGAGAATCCCAAGCAGGCTCCGCACTGTCAGAGCAGAGCCCGACGCAGAGCTCGATACCATGAACTGTGAGATCACGATCTGAGCCAAAATCAAGAGTTGGACGCTTAACCAACTGAGCCACCCAGGTGCCCCTCATGTTACCTAATCTTAATGTTATTCCTATCAGCAACTTCACAGTTGCTGGAGTCACCAAATTCTAGACTAAAGAGCTTAATGATGAACATCCAATTCAGACACACAGCAACTATGACAATAATCATGATCTTTACTAACCACCCACCCATAATGCACCCCAGCTATTCTGGAACACTGACTAGAGCACTTTTACTTTTAAAACGTACCTCTTCTCGAAGCTGCCGTTCTCGTTCCTCTTCTAGTTTTTGGATTTCAGCCAATGACAGCGTTGCCTGGGACTGACATGCTGTTGTATTGGACTGCTGGCCCCACGTGGAAGAAGAGGGAAGCTAACAAAAAGGAAGGCAGAAGAGTTCATGAGGAAATGTGGACAGGAAACAAAGAGGCAATACTGCATTATATATAGGCAGGGAATTCATGTTTCCTTCAACTCCACTTAAACATTTAACTCAAGATTCCATCCTGCAATCCTTGTGCATATTAGAGTTCTCCCAGTTTGCTTTTGAAACTTTTGTCACTACTCTAAACCTCAGATTATTTTAGAACTTAAAATATACATGGTACACTTTTATCTACCATTTCGGACTGCAAATTTGTTACAGCTGGCACTGATATATATACACAACAATATACAGATACAACGAGTAAGGAGTAAAACAAAACAATCACTACATTTTTAATCCAAGGGGGCAATGAAGGACATGATATGCTACTTTTAGTGAAAAGCTGAAAGACAAGATTTCTGAAGAAAAAGCTGAGGTGGGGAGCTCACAGAAGATGCCAGGCATAGTTCTTAATCAGTATTTTATAAAAGTGAATCACTGTTAACCAGGCTGTAGCTTCTAGTCATGAGCACTAGGCTGTTTTTAATAAATAATTCTATTTTTCCTATCCTTTAAAATCACTGACTAAAATAGAGTGTAAATATTTTTTGGGTCCAGAAGACTTTAATGTTCTCAAATGCTTGATTATTTTAAGAGAATCTCTTGGTTGTCTGGGCCAAAAAAACACACACTTTAATTTTGAGACATCTTGTGGCTCTTAACAAACAAACAAAAATAACAAAAACCAAATCTAACTAGACTTGAAATATGTTTAATAAAAATCATACAAACAAAATGCCCGAAAAGCCCAAAGAAGAATGGCTCTGTAGCAGAAATCTCGGTAACGTGGAGCTGGTGGAATAAGGACACAGTTTAAGCTGTCACCGATATTACCAAACAGCTCTTGGAAGGAGTACCTTCAGCACTACAGAATACCATCGGTCCTGAACGTTTACGTCTGGGGCTGACAGAGGAGGTAGCAGGGGCATTTATCTCAAAATACACCCCTGCTGCAACGGGGGAGAAGTGAGGAGGGAAGCTAAGAGAGAAAGACTGGGGACTAGGTGGGCAACATTAAGCACAAACGAACTCGTATTATCCACAGGAAATGACATACTGGAAGGCACTATCAAGATCAAATAAGGCAGTAGATCTCAAACACAACAGCAGCATTTGGGAAGGCCTGTAAAAATGCAGATGCCCTGGTCCCATATTCGATGAATCAGAAGATCCAAAGGTGAGGCCAGAGAATTTATATGTTTTTAATTCTGATGCATTCAGCCAGTAACCCCCAAAGCTATCTCAAATCCCAGATGTGTCACCCCAGCGTACCCTAGGAACCCATCCCCAGCCCTCTTCAGAGCCTCAGTCAGCACAGGAAGAGATGCACTCTCCCTCCACAAGATGGCCTGTTCCCCCTTCTGGCACCTCTGAGTTCCTTCCCACCACTGTGCCAAAATACGCTTCACTGTACTCTATGCTCCTGACTCACAGGTCTGCTCTGTGGAATAATGGACAACAAAGCCGTCTTCTTCACATGACAGACAAATGTCTGCAGATACCTATCATTTTCTTTAAGTCTTATTTGCGCATAGAAAATGATATCCCATCGCTCCATCAACACTGCCTCAGGACATTTTCCAATTCAACCAATGTCCTGTACTGCCCACTCAGAGAACTACAGTTTATCAATCATACTTTTCAGAACAACTCACTCCCAAATCAGAAACTAATAGGGAGTTCAGCACATTCTTTATCACCTGAATGCCTCGTATCTTTCAATGAGGTAAGAAAATTTACTATTTTTTTCTGCCATGATATTGCTACCTTACTTTCCAGCACTGTACTTTATTTTGAAAAATAACCATTACACCTCTGCTAGGGTAGTACAAAGTGCTCTGCAGACCTTCTCCCCAGCAAAATGGGTGAAAATTGCTTTTCAAAAAATTACTTAAAGCCTCTGGAAGTGAACATACAGGAATATGAAGAAAGAGGCCTTCAAGAAAACCTGGTAAAACTCGGTAAGAACTGAGAGTCTGCGGTACTTGCACCAAGATCCATCCACTCTCTCCTGACTCCCAGCTCAGCCAGACAGAAGCGCCACTCCAGATGAGCACAGCTCAGAACACAGGCCCCCTGTCCCTGTCAACCGCCAGTCAGTGGGCTAGCTTCTTACAAAGAGCACAACACCAGCATGTCCCCTCCTGGCTACAGCTACCTGCTGCAAAGGTGAAGGCACCGGCAAGGACAGCTGGGGGCGGGGGAGGGGGGGGGGCGCCCTTATGCCCAGCCCCCAACTTGTGGAATGGAAACTCCCTTGAGTACAGTGCCACCAGGGCTACTAGGGTCCTGAGTGCCACTGCCCTGACTCAAAAGGCTACCATGCCACCGGCAGAGCCAAGCCAAGAAAAATCGAGGCCGCTGTCCCTCCCCCAAGGGCTCAATTCCTAAGCAGAGTACCACTTAGAAAAGCACACCACTGTCACCAGCGCCAGAGCTGTGACTCATACTTTTGCCTTGGGGTGGAGGTGAGAGGAACAGATGGGAATATGCAGAGTTCCGGACCTCTTCCTAAAGGAACTGACTTTATTTGTAACAGACTGCGGAGAATGAGAAGTCCAAGCCAAAGGGCGCTTTTAAAAACAGTGGAGGCTAGGTGAAAGGCAACCAGGAGGAGATCAGTAGATTTACTGGAGATACACAGGTTAAACTGCGGGCCCCTACTCTGTCTCAGAGAACCAAGGAAATTGGTGAAAGAGGTTCTCCTGGGGTCAGAAACAATCTCAAAAATAGACCTCAGGAAGTGTCTCTTCAAAGAAGCCTAAATTTCACTGGATCAGTTGGTGAAGCAATCTACGCCCCAGGGCACTTCTGAGAACAGAAAAGCAATGCAGGTAGCAATCAGTGGAGGTTAACAGTTAGACAAAGCTATAGACAAAGCTAGAAAAAGATAATCAAAGAGTCCTGCCAAAACCAGGGATCCCAGAGTGACCATGGGCATGCCTGAGGAGCAGCAGCAGATTTCCATCCACCCTGTTGGGGAGGCAGTGAGAGACTGGGAGGTCACTAAATTAATTCAGTCAGGCACAAAACAATGATGGGGCTTGCAGGACCAGTAACCAGAGTTCCTACAACATATTATCAAAAACAAGTCCAGTTTCCAACAAAATAATATGAGAACTGTAAAGCGACAAGAAAGAATGGCCTATACGCCAGGAAAGAAGCTGGCAACCACCTACACAAGTGACCAGATGTCAGATTTAACAAAAACATCCAAGTTTTATAAATACGTTCAGAGAACTAAATAAAACCTTGATTGAAGTGGTAAAGGAAGGCATGATGACAATGTCAAAACAAAGAATATCAATAAAGTGATAAAGATTATTTCTAGACCAGAAGGAAATCCTGGAGTTTGAAAGCCGGGTAACTAAAATGAGAAATCACTAGAGGAACTAAAAGTATATCTGAACTGGTCAAAGAAATTAATGAAACTTGCAGATCAACAGAGATTACACCATCCAAAAAACCGACTGAAAGAAAGAATGGAGAGAAACGAAGACAGCCTTAGAGAAATGGGAAATATCACTGAGCACACCAACATGAGCACAATACAAGTAGCAGGAGAGGAGAGAAAGGAGCAGAAAAAATACCTGAAGAAACCATGGCTGAAATTTATTTAAAAACATTAATTTATACATCCAGGAAGCTTAACTATAACAAAATAAACACAGAGATCCATAATTAGACATTACTATGGTAAAAATGCTGAAAGCCAAAAAGGAGAAAATCTTAGGGGGTCTGGGTGGCTCAGTCAGTTGAGCATCGACTCTAGATTTCGGTTCAGTCGTGGGATCGAGCCTTGCACTGCTCCCCCCCCCCCCCCCCCCCCCCCCCCCCCCCCCCCGTCCCGCCCCCAAGCTGTGTGTGGAGATTGCTTGGAATTCTCTCTCTCCCTCTCTCTGTCTGGCCCTCCCCTGCTCACTCGCACATGTGAGTTATTTAAAAACATAATAGAATAGAATAGAATAGAATAGAATAGAATAGAATAGAATAGGGATGCCTCTGCCTTTAAAAAATAAAGACATCATTACTTCAATATTCCACTCTCAAAAACAGACCAATTAGGTGGAGATCAACAAGCAACTAGGTGACACTATGATAACCAATTGGACCTGAAAGACATCTATATATAACACCCGAGCCAGCAACAGTAGAATATACATTCTTCTCAAAGAAAGATCTCCAGGATACATCTAATGAAGGTAAAACCTAAGACATAATATCAACTTCAATAATTCATTTAAAGGGAAAAACAGCAGTGCCTGGCTGGCTCAGTCAGTAGAGTGACTCTTGATCTCAGGGTCATGAGTTCAAGCCCCACATTGGGTATGGAGCTTACTTAAAATACAAACATAAAGTAAAATAAAATAAAAATAATATAAAGTATGTTCTCTGATCACAATGAATGAGAAATAAGTAACAAAAAAGAAATTCTGGAAACTCACAAATCAGTAGAAATTAAACAAAACACTTCTACATAACCAATGAGTCCCAGAACAAATCAAAACTTATGGGTAGCACCTAAACCATACTTAGAGGGAAGCTTCTAACTGCAAATGACCATCCGAACAAGATGTCAAATCAATAAACTAACCTGCTACACCTTAAAATACTAGAAAAAGAGAGGAAATTAAACTTAAAGCAAGCAGAAAAAAATAATAAAATTAGAGAAGTTAAACAGATATAATAGGAACAGGTCAGTAGACTCAAAGGCTGGTGCTTTAAAAAGATCAACAAAGTTAACTTAGCTTGACTGTCCAAGAAAAGAGAAGACTCAAATTATTACAATCAGGAAAGAAAGAAGGACCTCACTGCTGATCTTAAAGAAACAAAAAGGGATATAAAGGAATACCAACACCAGCTGTCTGCCACTCAGATAACCCACATGAAGATGACAGATTCCTATAAAACTATAAACTATGGGGCTGCCCAGGTGGCTCAGTCAATTAAGTGTCAACTCGATTTCGGCTCAGGTTGTGATCTTACAGTTTGTGAGTTCAAGCCCCACGTCCAGCTCTGCACTGACAGCACAGAGCCTGCTGGGGATTCTCTCTCTTTCCCTCTCTCTCTCTCTCTGCCCACCCCTACCCCCCACCCCACTTGCACTGTCTTTCTCTCTTTCTCAGAATAAACTTAAATAAAAAGATTGTAGGGGCGCCTGGGTGGCGCAGTCGGTTAAGCATCCGACTTCAGCCAGGTCACGATCTTGCGGTCCGTGAGTTCGAGCCCCGCGTCAGGCTCTGGGCTGATGGCTCAGAGCCTGGAGCCTGTTTCTGATTCTGTGTCTCCCTCTCTCTCTGCCCCTCCCCCGTTCATGCTCTGTCTCTCTCTATCCCAAAAATAAATAAACGTTGAAAAAAAAAAATTTAAAAAAAAAAAAAAAAAAAAAAAAAAAAAAAAGATTGTAAAGATGCAAACTACCAAAAACTTACTCAAGAAGAAACAGACAAGCTAAACAGACCTGTTAAGAAGCAAATATATAGAATTAGTAATCAAACAACTATCCACAAAAAAAAAACCCTATGCCAAATGGTTTAACTGCCGAATTCTACAGAACATTTAAAGAAGTAATACCACTTCTTCACAAACTCTCCCAGAGTACAGAAGAGGAAACATTTCTCAACTCATTTTTCAGGGCCAGTATTGGCTCAACATCATTAGTCATCAGAGAAATGCAAACCAAAACCACAATGAGATATCATGTCACACCTACAAGAATGGCTATAATCAAAAAGTCAGATAATAAGGATTAACGAGGATGTGGAGATATGTGAATCCCCATATACTGCTGGTGGTAATGGAAAATGGTGCAGCCACTTTGGAAAATAGTCTGGTAGTTCCACAAACCATCAAATTTAGTTCTCTTATGACCCAGCAATTCCACTCCTAGGTATACACAACTACATAAAAGCTCGTCCGTGAATATTGATTTATAGCAGCAATACTCACAACAGCCAAAAGATAGAAACCTCTCAAATGTCCACCAACTGATGAATACAAATGTAGGATGTCCATACCATGGAATATTATTCAACCATAAAAAGGAATGAAGTACTGAGCCGTACTACAGTGTAAGTGAACCTTGAAACCATTACGCTAATTGAATGAAGTCAGTCACAAAAGAACGTAGATTATATGATTCATTTCAAATGTCTAGAACAGGCAAACCTATAAAGAGAGAAAGTAAGTTAGGGGTAACTTTGGGCTGGGAGAATAGGGAGTAGGGTGTGACCGCCAAAGGATTTTTGGAGGAGGGGCCTAGGGGGGTATTGAAAATGTTAAAGTCCACTGTGGTAATGGTCGCACTTATCTGTGAATATACTGAAACTACTGAATTGTATACTTTGGTTTAATTATATGGTATGTGAGCTGTATCTCAATAAAACCATCTTTAAAAAACTTTTTTCAGGAGAGCCTTTAGCCATTCCTCATATCTGAATCTCAAATTCTTTATCTTCGTGCAGAATGTTGATCTATAAAATATTGGAAGATAACAAGCCAAAGCCAGACACACAACAGATACAGTCAGAGAAGTTAGAGATCTGGAGGTTACGCATGACTTTTCTTCCCCCTCAGCCCCACCTTCTTATCAGTCACCATATTCTATGATGTGGCCTCCAGGCCCTGAAGACACAGACATATGGGTTCTAATACAGGGCTCTGCTCTCGCTCCTGAACATTTTTACTCTTTGGTAAAACACAGGTATCCACACCTAAGCTTTTAAGTGTGGCTGTAAAGATGAAATGATGTAACATATGGAGAGCTGTCGTCCAGTGCTTGACACAAAGCAAGCACTCAATAATCAGTGCTATCTTCAATTCCTCCTTTCCAATCCCATTATCGCCGCCTTCTCCTTCTGGACTGCTCCATCAGCCCCTTGCAATCACTCTGCTGACCTCGTTTTGCTCCTTCCAAATTCATCTTCCATTTAGATTTGTTCCTGCACATCTGACAGTGCTATTTCCTAGCTGAAAACACTCGAGTGGCCCACTCTGTTTTACACACCTTTAAGTCCTGGTTCTCTAATAGAGTATATACAAGCCACAGTGACCCAGACCCTGCCCATGCTTCTCTCATACCTCACTCTCCAACAACAGTAACCACTTTCTAAATTCCCCCCGAAGTACCACAGTGTTTCTGAACTTCATTCCTCTGCTCACCCCAGGTCTTCTCTCTCAAAAATCCCCTCCATTCTCCAAACTGCCTGTTGGGCTTTTTTTTTTAATTTTCCCTCACTAATACCTCAGTTTAAAAGTTATCATTTTCTAGCAAGTCTTTCCCAACTTCCCACGTGGACAGGGGCTCTCACATTTTAGTAAGCATCAGAACTCCTGGAGGCTTTGTTTGAACATAGATTGCTGCATCCCACCCCAAGAGGTTCTGGAGTGAGTCTCCTGAGTATCTGCATTCCTAACAAATTCCCAGGGGCTCATACTCTGAGAACCGCTGCCTGATGCCATCTCTCTCATTACACTCACCACTCTGTATTCGAGTGTCCCATTCCTATGTCTTTCTCCTGTGAACCCCTGAAGACAGGACACACTAAACCACACTGCTAACCACAGACCCCGTGTAACGTTATGTGGGCCCTGCCACAAAGCTGTCCCTCTCTCCCAATTACTCTCACTCCATCACTCGTGCCACAACTTTATGGTCACCAAAGGCTTCCTCTCTAGGAGCCTCCCCAGATCTCCCTTTGTGCCTCATTTCCAGAAGGTCACCAAGTCTTACTGGCTGCTATTGGGGGGTGGGGGGAGAGGAGATGGGAAGAGAATCCTCCTAAGCAGTATCCATACTCAGCACAGAGCCTGACATAGGGCTTGATCCTACGGCCCTGAAATCAGGACCTGAGCCAAAATCAAGAGTTAGACGCTCAACCAACTGAGCCACCAAGGCGCCCCTAGAGCCTGTGACTTTTGACCTTGGGGTGGCGAGTTCGGGCCCCACACTGGGCATGAAGCTTACTTAGGGGAAAAACAAAGGAAGCCACAGTGGTAATATTCAGAGTAAAGAAAGCACACTGCGCCACTGCTCCTGCCGCTGCTGGCATCCACCTCCGAACACCGGCGAGCAGCGTGTGTGGTGGGCGTCTGGGCTTCACCTTCATTTGCGCCAGCTGCTGCTGCTGCTGTTGCTGCTGCAGCCTCCGGAGGGCCTCTTGCTGCTGCTGCCTCTGGCGCATTAACTCCTTCTGCCGCTGCAGCTCCAGCTCCTTCCTCTTCCGCTCCTCCTCTTCATGCCGGAGTCGGGCCGCCTCCTCTTCCATTCTCAGCCGGTTCTCCTCTAATCGACGCTGGGCTTCTTCTTCTTCCCGGGCCCATTTTGCAGCCTCCTCCTCCTTCCCAGAAAGAAAAATAAAAGAGAATAAAATTTGTTTAAAAAAAAAAAAAAAAAAGTCTGAATCACTTTTGAAGGCTTTTGTCAAAAAGCTATAGATACACCAGAAAAATCAGGAACTTTGTTTATGATGATGTAAGACAGAAGATTTCTTTTAAAATCTATTTACAATAGCCACAAAAGCCTAGAATGCTCATAGGATAAAATTATAATTTATTTGGGGTGCCTGGGTGGCTCAGTCAGTTAAGCGTCCGACTTCAGCTCAGGTCATGATCTCACGGTCTGTGAGTTCGAGCCCCGCGTCAGGCTCTGTGCTGACAGCTCAGAGCCTGGAGCCCGTTTCAGATTGTGTCTCCCTCTCTCTCTGCCCCTCCCCTGTTCATGCTCTGTCTCTCTCTGTCTCAAAAATAAACATTAAAAAAATTTTTTTTAAAAATTATAATTTATTTGCTAATTTCGTCATAGAAGAAATGTCACTTTGACCATTTGTAGTAAGTACTGATCTAAGAGATCACCCGCCAACTGTAGCAAGGCTTCTGGCAACTGTTCCTCCGTTAAGGCAGAGTTAGCTTTTCAGGAAGCTGCGTTTGAAAACCTACCAGGACCTCGCAAGGACAGATTACCAGGAAAGCCTCACCCAGTTGTGGAACCAGAGCAACCTTACAAGATCATTTAAATTCCATCCCTGATTCACACCTCTGGAGGTCCCACAGGTCCTTTGGAACATCTCTCCTTGACCTACTGTCCCTCCCTCTACTACTCTGTCCTGTACCTTGGCTCATTTTCCTTCTGCTTCCCTTCTTCAAAGCCATTCCACTATGCCCTCTGGAACGCTCCTCACCTTCCTCCACAGAGTCTGCTTACTGTGCCTACAATGCTGTGTTTTTCCTGATAGCACATTCCCCTTCATTTTCCAAAACTGAAGGCAGATGTCAACTACTCTATGAATGACTTCCCTAGTCTTTAGGAGGCAGACTTCCCCTCTGCCTTTTTTCTTTCCTTTTTTTTTTTTTAAAAAAAATAGCCTTCACATCCAGCGTGGAGCCCAAGGCAAGACTTGAACTCACGACTCTGAGATCAAGACCTGAGCTGACATCAAGACTTAGACACTTAACCAACTGAACCACCCAGACACCTCCCTGCTCCCCCACCTTTTCATGATCTCCAATTATACCCTGTCCTCCTGTATGCTCCTATACCACCTGTGTCAACAATTATTTCTACCTATCCAACAACCATTCCTTTTAGGCGTCTTCCTTATAGACAGAGCCTCTATGTCACCTCAGAGGTCCAAAATGCCAGATTTTGCTTCCAATGTAACTAGAATCATGTGATATGATTTAGGCCAAAGGGATGCCTGCTGGAAGGCTTCTAGAGAAGATATTCTTCTGAAACAAAAGAAGCACAAGAGAAGGGCCATTCCCTTACAGGCTTTCCAAGGATATGGTATACAAAACGCCTAATCAGGACATGAAAAATCTAAAGTTAAAAGTCAACCCACCTAAAAAACAGAGCAGAAGTCTGCAAAGGACACGGATCCTTAATGACACCTCTGAGTTACTCAAGTCGTAACTGCCTTACTTGACATGTGATCTGTTGTTTAAACTATTTTAATGGGTGATAGGCATTGAGGAGGGCACCTGTTGGGATGAGCACTGGGTGTCGTATGGAAACCAATTTGACAACACATTATATTTAATAATAAAAAAAAAAACAACAACTATTTTTAGGTGAATACTTTGGTGTTGCAGCTGATGTATCCTAACTGTGGCATTTATTTCTTGTACAATGATCACCAACATAGCCTGTGAACTTCTGAGGACAGAAACAATTTCTTTAAAAGTTTCACATTCTACCAGAGAAACATGCCCAGTAAGCGGCATATAGTACCTCAACCAAACATGTTAACTGTTAAATGAATAAACCAAATGACAAATCAATACACAATCTACCCTTGAGGCTCTCTACCTCTAATTGTATGTAGGTTGTTCAAAGAGTTTCAATCCAGAATTTAGCCAAAAGCAGGTTATCTCCAGCTTGCGTCAATCTACACCTAGAAGTGTGGATTGCCCATAGTAATTTCCTTCCAGAGAGTACAGTACGTGGGGACAAGAGTAACTTTACAGCAGAGAAAACAAACAAGCATGGCTGCAGCCAGGTGACCAAGGTCTACACCAGTGGTCATTAGTCATGTTGATAATATACACCCTTGATAGAGGATGATGAAAATGGCACTTTGCCTTTGTGTGATCTACTTTACAAATACCCATAACCTCAGTTTAATTGTGAGAAAAACGTCAGATAAATTCCAATAGAGGGTTAACCTAATACTGACCATTAATTATTCCTTAAAACTGTCAAAGTCATCAAAAACAAGGAAAGCCTGAAAAACTGTCACAGTGAAGAAGCAGCTAAGGAGACAACTAAATGTACTATTTTGGATTTGGGATCTGGGAACAGAAAAAGAACATTGGGGGGAAACTGAGGAAATGTGAAAAAACCATAGACTTTAGTTTTAAAATAATGGATCTGGGGGGCGTTTGGGTGCTTACAGGTCGGTTAAGTCGTCCGAGACCTCAGCCAGGTCAGCGATCTCAAGAAGTCCAGGAGTTGAGCCCCGCCAGGCTCTTAGCTGATGGCTCCTCGGAGCCTGGAGCCTGTTTCCATTCTAGGCCTCCCTCTCTTCTGCCCTCCCTGTTCATGCTCTGTCTCTCTCTGTCCCAAAAATAAATAAAAAACGTTGAAAAAAATAAAATAATGGATCTGGGGGGCGCCTGGGTGGCGCAGTCGGTTGCCGTCCGACTTTCAGCCAGACCAAGGGTTCAGAGTTCGAGCCCTGCCACAGGCTCCCTCTGGGCTGATGGCCAGGAACCTGGAGCCTGGTTTCCCATTCTGTGTCTCCCTCTGCCCTCCGCTCATGCTCTGTCTCTCTCTGTCCCAAAAATAAATAAATAAACGTTGAAAAAAATAAATAAATAAATAAAAAATAAAATAATGGATCAACATTGGTTTACTGTTGACAAATGTACTGTACTAACATAAGATAATACTAGAAGAAACCATATTATCAACCGAACGTTTTTGAAAATCTAATTAATACTGTTCTAAAAATAAAGTCTCCTAAATTAAAATAAATAAATAAATAAATAAAAGTTCTTAAACATTAAAAGGAAATGCTTTAGGGGTTCTGGCTGGCTGCAGAGGCAGAATGGCCTGGCTGGCCTGGGACTGGATAGTGGTGACTGCTCATAGCCTGTGAAAATACCACGTAGCACTGAACAGTGCACTTTAAAAAACTGCAGAGCACCCTCAAGCAGAAGCAGTGAACTTGCAGATCTCACAGCTGGTATTTTAAAGGCCTTTAGATTTCTGTCCAGTATTCTGAGGGTTTCTTGGTTCTTTGATATTTCATTCAGCTTTTATAATTACACGTGGAACAGTCATTATAAAAGTAGTAAGAGTTAGGTCTCACGGTAATTTTAAGTCAACAGGCCATCCTCGCATCCAAACACTTTCTAATCACAAACCCCTAGCTTCAAAGAAGCAATGAGAAGAGCAAGCCAGGTGTCACCTGCTTGCGTAACAACTCCTCCTGCTTCCGCCTTTCCTCCTCTTCTCTCCTCCTCTCTTCCAGTCTCCTAAGAGCTTCTTCTTGCTGTTGTCTTTCTTCCTCTTCTCGCTGTCGCCTTAATGCAATTTCTTGCTCCCTTTGACGTCGCAGAGCTTCTTCCTAAATTAAAAAAAAAAAAAAAAAAAAAAAAAAAAAAGGTGTGTGGGGGGAGGGAGGACAAGGGAGGGAGGAAGGGAGAGGAAGAGAGAGAAAAACTCTGGATCTCAATATATCCCATTATAATTTGAAAAGAAATAGACTATGTGCTAAGGTTCTTTAACAGTAAATATAAAAAGGATATAATCAGGATCTAGAGTAAAAAGTAAGTATGTGAGTTAGGAGACAGACATATCAACCATTAAAATAATTTGTATTTGAAGTATTAGTAGTTACACAGCACTATAATGAGAGTCTACCCTGGATTCTACATGAGCTACATCATTTACTGATTAACCCCAGAAAGGGCCACATGAGGCCTCACACTTTGGTTTCTCTGCTGGTACCATTAGTCCTCCTTTATCTATCAATCAATCAATCAACCGGGAACCTAGAACACAGATCAAATCACCATAGCAATCCAAAATGCCTGGTGTCGTAGGAATAAGCTCTCTAGTCAGAAGTACTGAGTAAAGCCATGTATTCTAGAACGTATTCTGAAGAACAAAGTCGCAAGTACACAGAAAAGGGTCTCATCGTCAAAATAATTTAGGAAATACTGAGCAACACAGGATTCAACTGATTTCTTTACTGCAATACTTCTTAGAGCCCTTACAAGCTAGTGTAGAATGTGACTCTAAGAAGTATTAGTAGTTCAAATCTAATTTCAGCATGGACCTTTTTGTTTTTCACAGAGTACTTCTTGGGGCCAACAATGGGATGAAATGTGAGATAACACTGCACTTAGGAGCTATTTCAGAGTGGATTCTTTCAACTGGGATAAGTAAAAAATCCCAACAGAGAAACAGGTCAAGCAAATGAAAAGAGAATTCGCAAAAAAAGATACATAAGTGGTTAAAATACATGAAAGCCATTCGACACTGGTCATAAATACTTAAGTCGAGCTTCCCATTGAGTGTGGAGCCTGCTTAAGATTTTCTCACTCTCCCTCTCTCTGCCCCTCTCCCCTGCTCGCTCTCTCTCTCTAATAAGTAAATAAAAAGAAACAAATAAATAAGTAAGCAAAGACTTAGTTACTTCTAAAATCTAACTGAAAATATTAAAAAAAAAAAGCACCTCCAGATCTACCCGGACTGAAACTAGCAGCAGGAGCTGCTAGTGGGTAACAGACATTTATTCTAAAGGAAGTGACTCTCCTAAATTTCTAATCTCGATCCTGCTGTTAACTCCTTCCCAACTTCAAGAGACCGTCTCCGAGAACCATGAACCTGGTTTAGGGCTAATGCTGGGGTCAGCGCTCTCCAAGGTATACCTGTTTCCTTCGGGCGAGCTCTTCCTCTTCCCGCCTCTTCCTTTCTTCCTCCTGCTGCCTCCGAAGGATTTCCTCCTGTTGTCTCCGGAGTTCTTCTTGCCTCTTTCGCTCCTCCTCTTCCCGTTTTGCCCTCATTTCTGCCTCTCTTCTCTCCTGTTCTAGCTGTGATGACATGAAAATACTCTTAGAAACTTAAAGCCAAGTACAGAAACACTCCAACATGACTGACCACTGCCATTAAGAGAGAAACTGGAAGGTGCAGACACTACACCACTCACAGGTACCTGTACTGCAGCTGAGTGATGAAACCAGCTCTGTAAGAACTAAGCTCTGGGGGCACCTGGGTGGCCCAGTTGATTAAGCGTCTGACTCTTGATCTTGGCTAAGGTCATGATCTCATGGCTTCATGAGTTTGAGCCCCACAGCGGGCTCTGTGCTGACTGCTTAGGATATTCTCATTCTCATATTCTCTCTCTCTCTCCTCCCCCTCTCCCACTCGTGCTCTCTCTCTCTCTCTCTGAAAAAATAAACTTCAAAAAAGAAAAACGAGAACTAAGCTCTGATATGTCCCAATAAGCAGAACAGTGTTCTGCTCTTCTAAATTGAATGCACTCTCCCTGACATTTACCTGCCTCCTCGCTCCACACTACCATACCTGATCTTCTAGGGATGGGTGAAAGTGGCCAATACAAGAGTCACGTCAGAATTCTTTTGGGGCAGCACCTCTTTGCTCATCTCTAACAAAGGATTTTCTGACTGAAGATCTACTGATTTTCTTCACATCTACTGAAGATTTTCTGACTGAAGTGTCTACACTGTTAGGCTTCAACAGCAATGTTATAACGCTGGTAGCATGAATCATAGAGTTCTTTAAAATTTGAAGAACTACCACTTAACAAATTCTATCATTTACGGTTCTGAGATACCAGCTCAACCCAGACCCTAGTCTCCAAGCCCAGCCCACGGCCACACGTACATTTCAGGCCTTCACTTTTTTTTTTTTTTTTTTTTTTTTTTTTTTTTTTTTTTTTTTGAAGAGGCAGCAGGCAAGCACATGCATGAGCAGGGGACAGGGACAGAGGGAGGAAGGGAGGGAAAGAGAAAATGAATGAATGAATGAATGAATGAATGAATGAATGAATCTATTTCAAGCAGGAGCCTCACTGTCAGCACACAGCCCAATGCAGGGCTTGATCTCATGACCTGACCCAAAACCAAGAGTCAGATGCTCAACTGACTGAGCCACTCAGGCGCCCCTGAGCCTTCACTCTCTCAACCACATTTCTAAGAGTCCCTTACTTGTCTTCTCAGCATACAGTTTTGCCCATATTCCCCAGCACAACATCTTAAGCTCCACCAAAAAAAAAAAAAAAAAAAAAAAAAAAAAAAATCACTCCCGGGCTTACATTTAACATCATCCTTCACCCTGAAAATAAATCCTTACTCTCTAACATGACATGTGTAAGGGCACTCATGACTGGCCTGCCTCATCTTAGCCTTCTCATCATGTATCCCTCAGACATACCATGGCTCCAAGCCAGACCAAATTATTTAGCTGCTTCCTGAACCAGTATGTTCTCAGGCATTTCTGAACCATTACAGGAATTATTTCTTTCAAGTGGGTTAAATTCTACTATTCTTCAACTGAAAATTAGTGTATGTATTTCTGTCCATCAGCAGTGTCACCCAATTCATGATGCCCACCTAAGTGGGTGAGAGTAGGTAGTATTTTGTAACTGTGTTACTTGCCTGATTGTCATTGCCCTCGCTCCTTCAACACACATACCCCAGACACAAAAGACTGCAAATTCCTATCCTTTATCCCATGTGTTCCCACCACAAAGCACTACAGTACTAGAAAACTCTCAAGAATTATTTGAATTATGGTCTCTCACTTGTTTATGGAGACAGACTCTGACCATGAACCCTTTCTACATTCTGGGCACTCTAAGGAGACTATCACTACTGCAGAGGATAAGAACACATTAAGTATAAAATAGGAACGAGATTTTCCCTGAGGAATGAGAACCCAAAAGTCATTACAATGACCTAAGTGTTGATAAGACATCCTCAGCTGGCAAGATTCCTTGCTCCTCCAGAAAATGTGAATGGAACATAGAATCTAATGTTAATGTTGGAACTTTTCAGCCACATGTCTGGAGACACTAAGAAATATAAACTAACATCACTATAAAGATTCGGTGTGGGAATTCAAGCCATAAATCAAGGGTCTAATAAGAATGTAGTGTATATTTTCTTAGGTTTTAGTATTTGTAACAGGTGTTTACACCATGAATAATGTAATTAAAGTATCCATATAATCATAATCATAAATGTGTTAACCAACCAATTTTAATTGATTTAATTTAAACTTGCTAATTTTAATTGTTTGAGGTCTTTTCTGGGAGAAAAGGGAATAATAAGGTTAGAATACGAACGTGCTTATAACAGGTAAGTACAGTAAACTAACAGGGCAAAGCCTAAGTGGCCAGAGAGACAGAGATGTCAGTAAACAAATCCCTGTGTCTGACAGCTGGAAAGCATGCTTTATTACAGAAGAATAAGGTTCAGACCTTTGCAGCTTTGGCCTTCTCCATCTGCTGAAGCTGTTCAAGGGCAGGTCCTGGAGTCGTGGTGTCAAGGGGAAGATCCCATACACTACCACCTTCCCAAACTGTAAGACAACAAGGGTTAAAATGAGGAATATCAGAGCTTATGTACATGGTCACATCTCCACAAGCATAACGAAAAAAGCTATTTCCCTGTCCCTGAATAAGCTCCATCATACAAATCTGGGCTGCTTTTAGGTAGACTGAACTGCATATGGGCTCTGGTTTAAATCAGTATCCTTCAACACATCTGGAAGAAAAGAAATTACCAGGCATGTACTGGGAAACTAATTTCATCCTCAAAAACCCTACTTCTGTTCACACACCCCATTTTTACTGATGAACATGCTAAGGGTTGGGGGTAGTTCTGTAACATTCCCAAGGACACATACCATGCACATGGCCCTGCCAGGATTTAAATCCCAGTGCATTAGACCCTAAAGCCCACAGTATTTCCAGTAGCCATACAACCTCTTATCGCAAACCAAGAGGAGTGGGGTCAAGAGAGGTATGTAACTGTGAAACTGGAGAGAACTGAGTAGTTGCATGATACTGTGAATGTGTTCTATGCCACTGAATTGTTCATCTAAAAATGATTAATTTGGGGGCGCCTGGGTGGCTCAGTCTGTTAGGCGTCCAATGTGGGCTCAGGTCATGATCTCGCGGCTCATGAGTTTCAGCCCCACATCAGGCTCTGTCTGATAGCTCAAAGCCTGGAACCTGCTTCAAATTCTGTGTCTCCCTTTCTCTCTGCCCCTCTCCTGCTCGTTCTCTCTGTCTTTCAAAAATAAATAAGCATTAAAAAATTCTTCTTGGGGCACCAAGGTGGCTCAGTCAGTTGAGCATCCGACTTTGGCTCAGGTCATGATCACTCAGTTTGTGGCTTCAAGCCCTGTGTCGTGCTCTGTACTGACAGCTTAGAGCCTGGAGCCTGCTTCGGATTCTGTGTCTCCCCCTCTCTCTCTGCCCCTCCCCAGCTCATGCTGTCTGCTTATCTGTCTGTCTGTCTGTCTCTCTCTCAAAAATAAACATCAAAAAATTTTTTTAATTTTCTTAAATCGTTAATTTTATGTTATATGAATTTCATGCCAAAGAGAAAGAGGTACAGCTGGACGAAGGGAGGCCTCTGGAAAAGCTGGGCAAGTCTCACAAATCACAATGGGTCCTGCTGACCTGAAAGGCAGCACAGGGTCAAATGCAGAAGTAAACAAATAAAGTCTTCTGAGTCTGCTTTCCTACTGCCAGCAAAAGGTCCATGGACACCACTTTTCAGCATTCTCTATTCCCTACACTCCTATTTCTATACTATAAATTATTGTTTGTATAAAACCAATGGACAATTTTAAAGGGCCTTGACTGTATCATACCCAAAAAGAAACTGTTCAATAAGGTACTTAAAAATACTTCTCCCAACATTGGAGAATTTTTTTTTTTTTTAATTTTTTTTTTTCAACGTTTATTTATTTTTGGGACAGAGAGAGACAGAGCATGAACAGGCAAGGGGCAGAGAGAGAGGGAGACACAGAATCGGAAACAGGCTCCAGGCTCTGAGCCATCAGCCCAGAGCCCGACGCGGGGCTCGAACTCACGGACCGTGAGATCGTGACCTGGTTGAAGTCGGGACGCTTAACCGACTGCGCCACCCAGGCGCCCCAATTGGAGAATATTTTAACATCACAACTATAAATGACTACCAAAAAAAAATCAAGTACACAGAGCAGGAAAAGTTGATGATAATCAGTCCTTCTCCTGCTATAATCCCCAAGATCAATGTTAGTAAAAGAACTATAGCCTGAATAGCTCAATGGCTCTAAGAAAAATCCGCCAATCTTGTGAGTTTGAGCCCTGCATCAGGCTCTGTGCTGACAGCTCAGAGCCTAGAGCCTGCTTCAGATTCTATATGTGTGTGTGTCTCTCTCTGCCCTTCCCCACTTGTGCTCTCTTTCTCTAAAAAATAAACATTAAAAAAAGAAAGAAAGAAAAGAAAAATCTACCAATGCCCATGGTTCCTGAGAATTGTCAACATTAACTATAACCTCTTCTAAGGATTTGTCTACGGTTCACTCAAACTACCTACTTCTGCAGGTATCAGACATTAAAAACCAAAAGTGTTCCAGCAATATCAAGGCTTTAAACAACAAAAAAAAAAATCTCAGCCCCAAATTTCCTAATTTGATGTAAAAAGATCAGAGAATAAAATAGGGTGTTCACTTTAAAGCAAGCTTTCCTCGGGGTGCCTGGGTGGCTTAGTCGGTTAAGCGTCTGACTTAGGCTCAGATCATGATCTAATGGTTCGTGATTTTGAGCCCTGCATTGGGCTCTGTGCTAACAGCTCAGAGCCTGAAGCCTGCTTCATATTGTGTCTCCCTCTCTCTGTCCCTCCCCTGCTCGCGTGCGCACTCTCTCTCAAAATTAAACAAACATCAAAAATTTTTTCAATAAAATAAAGCAGGCTTTTCTCATCCCAAAACTTCTGGGTACCTGGAGTGTTAAGCTATGTATTAACCCTTCACTCAAAAGAAGAGACGTTTTTACTAAAGCTTTTTTTTTTCACTCTGGCAGAATAAATCAATCAAAATTTAAAACACTTTCCCACACCAATTAGAGCAACAAAAAAAAGAGAGGCTAGCTCAAATTCATGAAATTTATCTACTAAAGACTTTTAGCAAATCTTTAACAGTATAGTTTCAACAGTATTTTCAGTCCTTTTCTGGGGTCTAATGAGACTCTTTGTTAATATTCAATATAAAATGGTTCAAAAATAAATAAAATGGTTCAAAAATGGACACATTTTTTAAAAATTGAATTACAAAGTAAGAGTCTAAATCCTTGGAGCTATACTAAAGGCAAATCTAAATTTTTACCTGTAGGCTGTGAGGTTGTTGGCTGAAGCTCCCAGATAGAACCAGTATCTGGCACTGACACAGACCTAGTTACTGAAGGAATGATGTTCTGATCAGATATTCTGCAAAAAGGAAATAAAAAAATTCACGTGTTCTTGTCATTTGCAAAAAAAAAAAAATAAAGAGAAATTTCTACATGATTTGTAGGTTTTCCAGGCAATATGGCCAGAAAACTCCTTCACTGTTTTAACTAAAATACAACACTACCAAAAAAGCATTTAGGAGAGGAACAAAGATAGAGGCACATTCATCCCACTTCTGGAGTCAAGGTGTTAACAAATGTTGATTTCTAAATAATGAATATACCAACTGTCTTGAGGAAGGAAAAAAAAAAAAAAAAAAAACCACCCCAGAATAAAAAGCCAGTAGAAGTCATAGAGACAGCATGTTGTAATGAAAAACCCACAGACCTTAAGTCAAAAGGCTTCATTTTTTTCTATCTCTGAAGTTTTCTGTGTATTATGTCAACCAAGTCCTTCAGCCTCCCAGGGTCTAAACTGGTACCTTACCACCTACCTAACCTGCTTTCCCCACAAGATGGATTATGACTCAAAAGAGAAATGTGAAAGGCTGTGGTTGAATTGGACAGTAAGGTTTTTAGGACAGTCAGCGATACACTTGAAGGAAATGCAAGTACTACACTGAATGATAATCTGAAATGTATAATAGAAATTTAAGGCTTCAAGCATAATTTCCTTTTCCTCAGACTTATCTTAGAGGCTTTTGGGTTCTGGAAAATTTTAATTCTGTGTGGCAATGTTCATATCTCTTTCGACATACCATGGGTGAAATGAGATTAAACTTCTAGACTATAATTTTTTTATTGCTTGTTCTATAAGAATACACTACTTCGCAAATGTTTTCTTTATTCCTTGGTTACTATTCCAAATTTATCCTCTATGAGTAAAGAGACTAAAAATGCTTCATTGACAGATTATTATTTTTAAAAACTATATCCTGTTTTTATACACAATACACAAAAATGTGTCGTGTGTGGGTATTTTGATATCAGAGTTCACACGATACCAAAATTTCCTTTCTTCTCTTTCTCTCACACACACACGTACATGACCCATCATGGGGTGACCACCAACCTCATCTTCAGAGCCTGGAACTGTTGGAGAAGAAGTGCCAACTGTTGCTGCTGCTGCGAAGACAGGGCTGCTTTCTGTTGCTGAGCCAAAACCTGCGCATATTGTTGTCTTCAAAAAGTAAAATAAAGCATAACCTGTCTATCCACATTTAGTGCACTTTACTGAGACACTAAAAGACTAAAAGACACTAAAGACGTTAAAAGGCCAGTCCACCACCCCCCAAAAATACCATGAGAAAGAGCTATCAAATATATTTTAACAACGCTTCATGATAACGACAGTTACACAGAAAATTGTCTACTTCATCCTAGAAAGAACTGAACTTATAGACAACATATATATCCTCAGGATGTCTATAAGAGGATAGAAAAAAAAAATCACAAAATATCAAAAACTGGCAAACTCTCTGAAAATAATAGCCTTTCATCAGAAACCAAGTGAAAAATAAACAGATTCAGGGAAACCAGGTGGCTTAGTTGGTTAAGCATCTGACTTCAGCTCAGGTCATAATCTTGTGGTTTCTGGGTTTGAGCCCCATGTTGGGCTCTGTGCTGACAGCTCAAGGCCTGGAGCCTGCTTCGGATTCTGTGCCTCTCTCTCTCTGCCCCTCCCCAGCTCATGCTCTGTCTCTCATTCTCTCAAAACTGATTAAACGTTAAAAAAAACTTTTTTAATAAAACAGAGTCAAACTAATAGCTATTTCCAAATGAAGCACCCTTTCCAAAACTAAAATCACTTGTATAAAAATTCTCAAATTTATGTTTCAGCTTGGAAAATCTGGGGTTTTTTCCCCCTCCCCACTAGATCAGAGGTAGACAATTTTTATCTGTAAAGAGCCAGACGGTAAATATTTTAAGTTTGTAGGCCATATGCAACTACTCAACTCTTCTGCTGTAGTGCAAAAGCAGCCACAGACAATATACAAATGGGTGTGGCTATGTTCCATTAAAACTCTGCTCATAAAAACAGGTACCAAGCTGGTTTGCCAATCTTTGCACTAGATGACAGCAAATCTTACTTCCTCTACCAAAGGGACACACAATCTAAGTGATTCTGCTATCATTCCACACCACTACTAACAGTAGAAATCTTTACTTCTTCCTGCCCTCTCATCTATGTTTTTTCTCTGTGACATTCACAGTTGAGCCAGCCATTTAGGAGGCGTTTGAGTCTTAAAATGCTTGTTGTTTCTTGCTTTAGAAGGCAAAGAGCTTGCAAGATTATAGTTATATGTCATTTTCTGCAAATTTATGGTAGGTAATAAGAAGATAAGACCAAACTCCAAATACATAGTGGTAACATGTCACTAGATGGGTAACTGAAGTATCCTATCAACTCTTAGTTCTCTGCTGTAGAAGGTGAAACTTAGGAAGTTCTACCTAACGGCACTCTGAATTCTGCACTGCCACCTACAGCATTACTGCTCTTACTGTATCAAGAACTGCTGGTACTGAAGGTGCTGCATCTGGTACAAGGCCGTGAGCTCCTGCTGCCTGGTCAGTCGTTCCTGGTCCAACTCTCCCTGGGAGCAAAGGGGTGGGAGAAGAAATACCACTGAATAAACTGCAAAGAGTCTAAAAGCCATTTACTACATATATCTGAGAGCAAACTGAATCTGAGATCTTCACATTACACTCCACCTTTCTGCCCAAAACGCTTAACTATTGCAAAAACTCAGCCTCTTTAAAAGCTGAACAGTGCCACCTAGCAGAAGAAGGTGGTATCTGCATTTTAAGAGATTCCCTGCAAGGAATTTCCCATAAGGCAAGGGTCCTTACGTCAGAAGCTGTCCTCCCCTCCTACTTTTGAACCTAAATGTTGTACTGTACGTACCCCACAGTCATTACTGTAACTAAAAAATGTATAATTTCCCAATGTTAAAAGTGATTCTTAAATTTGGGAATCCTGTAGAAATTAGAGAAATGGAACAAAACAGAAAGGAGTAAAATTATCTAAAGCTAAAAGGGAAAAAAAAGTTAAAAGGAAAGGTTACAGTAGAATTTTATAATGGCTCATAATGAACAGAAAAAGCAATATAGAAGTAGGTCTTCTTAAAGACGCGGAGAAATTTTTAATTTAAACAAAATACGAAAAATCTTTGAAAACTAATTCTCCACCCCAAAATTAGGTGTTTCTATTGCTATTAATACATCATGAGTTAGAAAAAATAAGCTGTTGTTTAGTTTATATTTCAAATAACATGGCTGGAATTTAAATTTTGCAAAGTTAAAACTCGGAAAAATAAAATGTTATGTAAAATGTTATGTAAAATAAAAGAAATAATAAAAGCATAAGGGTAACACAGACTACGGTAAATCATTAGTGAACAGTTTACATCTTTATTGTGCACAGATCATGGTTTGGAATGAAACATTTGATACACAGTTTCTTGGGGGTAGAGATCATCTGAAATTCAGGGACATTTTTCTTTTCCACTATACACTGAAGATTGGAAGCTACACTAGGTTAATGTCAAATTTCTACATAAGGGGGCATCTGGCTGGCTCAGTCAGTACAGCATGTTAACTCTTGATCTTGGGGTCAAGAGTTCAAGCCCCACACTGGGTGTAGAGCTTACTTTTATTAAGGGGTGCCTGGCTGGCTCAGTTGGTAGAGCATGCGACTCTTGGGGTTGTACGTTTGAGCCCCATGTTGAGTGTAGAGATTACCTAAAAATAAAATCTTTTAAAAAATAAAAATAAAATGTCTACATAAAAACCTACACTTCAAGGTATATTCATCATCCAGGTGAACTGTTATCAGGGCTATTCAGGGATTAGCAATGATAGCTGACAGAGACACAGCTTGCCATGGTTCTTCCTGTTAAGCAGTCTAATGGAGGCTCAGCCCCTGTAACTGGAAGTCAGGCAATGGGCAAGGGATGAACTTTCAAAAGTTCTGAGACATGCACGATAACTCATCCCAATTTCAGAGAATGGAAATAAAGTTCCAACTTGGTATATAAATTAAATGTTTATACAATAATACATAATACAATTTTCCCTTGTATTTACAACAGAAATGTCAGAAATAATTCCCCTCATCTAGGAATCTTCACTGTTCTCCAAATTACAGGAGGTCTCAACCCATCATGGACTGACATCAATTACTGGGTCAAGATCAACATTTACATGTGAAAGAAGAGGAGGGGAGGGGAGGGGAGGGAAGGGGAGGAGGGGG